ACTTGAAATGTGTCTGAAGAGGACATTTCCTACACTGACTGAAGGATAATTAGGCGTCTCCAGATCGGTGCAAACTGAATGTGGTTGGATTCTTGAGCCTCCTAAAAAAATTCTTTACCTTGGGACTGGAGTGATACTACAATGGGTAGGGCTCTTGCCTTACCAGGAACGATCCTGAGCACAAAGCCAGGAGCAAACCCTGAGCATTGTTGGGTGTGGTCCCAAATGAAAACAAAACAAAACCCTTCCTAACCTCATGGAATATTTAGACATGGCAAAAATATTCTGAGACTGCCAACGGTGTAAAAGTCCTGAGAAATTGGGTGGATTTTGAAATATATCCCCAATTTTGGGGGTTTTGTTTTATTTTGGGGCCATACTCTGCAGCACTCAGGGATTACCCCTGATTGTGTGTTCAGGGGTCACTCCTGGCAATGCTCGAAGACCCAAACAGCGTGCCAGGGATTGAATCTGGGACAGTAGCATGCAAGGGAAGTACCCTGTCCACTGTACTCTCGATCTCGCCCGAAATCCACACACACAAAAAAATTAATTTTGAACAAAAAGAGTTTGATGGGTTTTATGTATGATCGGGCTTGATCTTCAGATGTTTGGACAACTACAGCATTACATATGAAAGCACCAAGGTTTCTCTACTTTGGGTAAATGTCCCCGGCCATTAGCCTGGTTCTCCTCCAATCAATCCAGCTACTCTGCCTTTTCTGAGAATTACTCCCATCTTTCCCTCCCAGAATGAGCTGTTCCTAGCCACTGGGCCCCTTTGGCTGGCATGATCTCCCATAAGTTGCTGTGGAGGTCACTAAATATTTTTGTGTGCCATCCCTTTGGGAAGTCTTTCATTTTTGCGATCAAGCACTTTAAAGTCCAAAATACCCCATGCCCCCCCGCCACCATGATCCCTAAAACGTTCAAAAGGCTGTTCTATTTGGGGTAGAAAGATTCATTGCTTGGACTCTAAGAGTAAACATATTTGGCTACCTTCCTCTCAAGTCAGCTCAATATTCCTTTGTTGTCGGAGGCCAGAAAAGAACTGGAAAACTACATTCTCGACCCCTGAATCAAAAGGGGACATTGGTGTTGTTTTTTTAAAATGTAAAGCCTGATTTACCTCCAAATTTTACACTAGTCCCTTAATTGTTTTTAAAATTCAGTTTCATTAGGGTTCATGGAAACGACACCTGGAGAAAAGGGAGGCGAGAGAGCCAATTCTGGGGCTTGGTCTTTGAGATGCCTTTAGGGCCCCCTAGTGGCTATTTTAAGAACAGTTTCTTCGGATTAGGTCTCCTTGACCCTGATTTAAAAAAAAAAAAGGAAAAGAAAAAAGAAAAGAGAGAGACCTTTGTGTATCTCTTCTGTGACAAGTGTAATAACTGTGGAGATACATAGATAAAAGTTGGTTTAGGGACTCAGTATTTTAGCACTTCTCAGTTCTAAGCAAAAGCAGTGCAGTTGCTTTAGAAATAACAGATGTATCCCCTTACATATTTCATTCCACACTCCTGTTCTGGTGTGTCATAGCTGAAATCTTTGAAACACATTGATATGCTGATGGGAGTCAAAGGGGCTGTGACTCTGAGACAAGTGCATAAGTATATCCTAGCTTAAGATGGATGAATCTATATCTTTCACCTATCACCTGCCAAGGGCGAGGGCAAAGAAATTCTTCAAACGTGGGGGCTTAGATGATTCTTAATATAACTAGCAGACAGATTCAGTTTGTGGATTATTTCAGTCTGACAATTCTTAGACAGTTCCTTTGAAGAATAATAGATACACCACTCACGTTCAAATATTGCAGGGCTGAATTTTTCACGTTGGAAGTGCCCAAGGACTGATGCAAATAACCTTTGTGAAAATCCCAATAATGACTGATGTCTTCAGTGAATTTAGAGACCAGGGTGAATATTGCTCCCCGACTCACTCCCCGGCTCCCTCCACCCCCACATCGTGGTCCTAATTTTCTTCCTGGAATCCCATTTCTTCCTGGAACACACACACACACACACACACACACACACACACACACACACACACACTTGGGTAATTATACTGGAGATGTTTTTTTCCCTGGTGCTTATCTTTTAGATGCTGATGTTATCCCAAGATTTCTCCTATGCTTTTTCTCCTCTACGTTTTTCTCCTATATGTATTTCTCCTATACGTTTCCAGTCCCTCTTCTCTTCCTCAGTCAAGTTACCCTTATTTATATGCTAATGCATTGCAATAATGCGTTTTACACCATTAATGGAGTGAAGCAAAGCAATGAATAAAAAAGAAGGTTCAACTTCTTGTTTTAACTTTACCAGGATTCTAGCGTTTGAACTACGGGGGGAGGAGGAAGAGAGTTGCAAGGAGAGTTGGCCCTCAAAATAAAAATAAATAATAATAATAATAATAATAATAATAATAAACGATCGCCTGGTGTCCAGCGTATGTTGGAGAACCGAGCTGCACGTCAGACGGAGAACGGAGCGAGCATTTGAGCTTTAAAGGCTCGGCATTAAACTTTGACACGTTAATGGTTCCTAGGATATTAGCTCCTATTTTATCATCTAGGATACGGTAATGGTACCCAAATCAGATCTGAGATCTCCCCTGTCGGCAAAAGCGCGGGGCGAGAGCCGGCCCCCAAGCCGTAAGACAGCAGGACCCCGCTTGGCAGTGAACTTCTCCTGAAGCTCCAAAAGGAAAAAAAAAAAGAGCAAAACAAAACAAAAACCACGATTTTTCACTTCGCCGGGGACGACGCTGCAGGGTAAAATCCGCTACCTTCGCGCATCCTCCTGGGCCCGCGCATCCTCTGAGTTTAGGTAAACGGGATGCTGAGCTAGAGTGGGAGGGGGGTGCTTGGACCGGGCCGGGGTCGGCGGCGGGTGGATGGATGGGTGGGTGCGGGTGTGTGTGTGTGGGGGGGGTCGTAGCCTATAAAGGCTGCAGGGAAGGGCGCGCGTGGGGGGAAGGGTCGGGCTGGCTCCAGCCCCAGGCCGAGAGAGCCGCGTTACCTGGACGGGACTTGGGTCTGCAGAGGCGCCAGGGGCCAACGCTCCCCAGCCCTAGCTAGCCCTCCTCTCCCGGGCTCTGGAACTAGCTCAGCATCCTTCTCTCAGCCCTCTTCCCCGCCACCCCGCAGCCTTGCACTTTCTCTCTCGGCTGGAGCAAGCGCCCAGCCTTCGCCCAGAACTCGGGTGGGCGCATCTGCGTGCCCAAGAGAGCTGCTCCGGGGCGCGCCCGAGCCGGGCGAAGAGGTGGGGCGGGGGTGGGGGTGGGGGGAGGTAGGGACCCAGGGAGCGGAGGGTGGGGTGGGGTGGGGGGGGAGATGGGGAGGAAGGGGACCCTTCCCACCCCCCTCTAGCAGCCTTGGGACCGAGCGCCGGGAAAACCCGGGAGCTGGATCGCGCGCGCGCGCGCAGCGGGAGCGCGGGTGTCGCCTCCGCGCGGTGGCAGCCCTCCTGGGCGTCCTTTGGCTGGCGCGCGCACACTCTTGCTTTCTTCCCCGCCGGGTGTGAGTGTGTGTGTGTGTGTGTGTGTGTGTGGTGGGGGTTCTTCCCCGGGCCTCCCGTCGGCGCGCACGCCCCCTTTTGTCCCCCGAAAGTCGCCGGGCGCCTCCCGCGGCCGCAAGAGTGCCACTTAGCATCCCGGTCCTCGCCTTGCAGAGCGGGCGGCTTGCAGGTCCGCTGCTCGGGACGGTGCGCGCGGGGCGGGTGCAGGGAGGCCCAGAGCCGGCGAGGAGGAGGAGGAAGAAGAGGAGGAGGGGGTGGTGGTGGTGGGGGGGCGTGGGGTTGTGCCTGCTTTGGAGCGGGGAGGGCGTTATGTGTGTGTGTGTGTGTGAGTTGTGAGGCGTGCAGGGTGCAAAGAATGCCACTCTCCCCCCCCCCCACCCCGCCCCGAAAGAATAGGGCTCTTGGGGCAATCCGGATTGGTTCTCGCAGACCTAGCTCCAAAGGGGGTGGGGGGTGCCGCCGAAGCCCTTCCCCGGCGCTGCCCCACCTTCCCGAGCAGCGGCGCCCCGAGTGGAAGGCAGCGTGCGTGGGGAGGGGGCGGGGAACTTCCTACTTGGCCACGCTCGGCTGCAAACGGGTCCCCGCCGCAGCTGCGAGCCCGTCCCGCTTCCCTTCCCCCCCACCCCCCGCTCTTTCCGCCAGGCTCGCCAAGCCCGAGGCGGCCGGGAGCGGCCGGGAGCAGCAGGGGGGGTGGCGGGAGGAGCAGGGCGGGGAGCTGCCAGCTTGCACCCTTCCTCCCCGACCCGGCCCGGGGATCCGGGCTCCGGGTGTTGCCGTCCTCCTGCGCGCCGGCGAGAGCGAGAGGAGCGGGAGGGCGGGGCCTGGGGCGGGGGCGTGGCCTCGGCGGGAGGCGGCGCCCGGCGCGGGGCGGGGCCTCGGCGCGCAGGGGGCGGGGCCCAGGCGGGGCGGGCCCGCCCTCCGGGGCGGCCGCGGCGCGCGCCATTGGCCGGCCGCGCTGTCACGGGGTTGGGGCGGGCGGCGGCCCCGCCCCGCCCGGGAGCCCGGCCCCGGCGCGCGGTGCCCCCCAGCTGCACAGACATGACACAGACACACAGTCACTGCAGCTGCTGCTGAGCGAGCCGGGCGCTCGGGGCACGCGGCGGCGGCGGCGGCGGCGGCGGCGGGGCCAGCCCGGAGCCCGGACCCCCGCGCCCGTCCGCGCGCCCGTCCGCGCGCGCGCGCGCGCCCCCCTCCGCGCCGGACCCCGCGCGGCCGCCCCCCGAGCCGCGATCGGGCGCGGGAGGCGGGGGTCGCGCGGCCGCCAGGGAAGCCGGCGGCGGCGGCGGCCGAGGCCGGCGGCGCTGCCCCGCCGCCGGGGCTCCCCGCACCCACCGCGCGGCGCCCCGCCTCCGCGCCGCCGGTGACCTTCCCGGGGCGCCTGGGCACCCCCGGCCGGGGCGAGGCCCGCGCCTCGGTCCCCGGCGAGCCGCGGGCGGCGCAGGCCCGGGGGCGCGGCCGGGCGGGGTGTGCGGGCGGGGAGGGGCGGCCCTCCCGGGACCCAGGCCCCGGCCCATGCGGGACGCCCCCCGATCGCCGGAGTCCCCGGGCCAGGGCGCAGCGCCCCGCCGGCGCGCCGGAGCCGGAGCCCGCGGAGGAGGAGGAGGAGGAGGAGGCAGGGGAGGAGGAGGAGGAGAAGGAGGAGGAGGAGGAGGAGGAGGACGGGACCTCGCCGAGCCCGCGTCGCCGCGCCTGCCCGCTCCGGAGTCGGCTGCGCTGGACGCCGCGCCCCCGGGGAGCCCGCGCCGGACCCCCGCGCCGCGCGCCCCGGCCGGCCGCTCCGCCGCGCCCCCCTGCCCGCTGGCAGCCTCCTCGGCCCAGGTAAGCTTGCGGACCGGGCCGGGCCGAGCTGGACCGGACCGGGGGGTGGTGGGGGTGGGCGGCCGCGCGGCGCCGGGCAACTTCTCCGAACCTGTAGCTGCACCCGGCCGGTGCCCGGGACGCGGGCGGACCCGCCGCGAGGGCACCGCCGGCTGCTGCCTGCGAACGGGGAGCCCCGGGCACGGAGACAGGCTGGAGGTGAAAGTTTCCAAGTCCGGGGATGATGACCCAGAGCCCGGCCCCCACCCCCACCCCCCGGAGGGGCAAGGGGTTTGGGGGAGCCAAGTCAGGTGGGTGGGGTGTGTTTGTGTGTGTGTGCGCGTGGGGGGGGAGACTTTGAGTATCCCCACCCCGACCCCCTTCCCTCCAAGCTGGCGAGCATCTGTTGCTTGGGTGGAGGGGGGAGAACATCTTGCGTTTGAAGTGATGCCTCCCCTCCTGCCCTTCTTCCCCTGCGTGATGTTGGGAAGAACTTTTTCTCTCTGCTCCGGTTGCAGAGAAAACAGGCCGGTTTGGGGACAGGGGTGAGGGGTACGGGGTGGCCGAGCCCACCGTACCTTGCAGGTGTCAGATGTTAAAGCCGAGTGGTTGGGAGGGTGTGTTGGGCGTTGGGAGAGAAAAGGGAAAGCCCCAAACTGCTACTGGTGGCACTGGTGGGGACCCATGCCCCCCTCCCCCCTGTTGGGAATGACCCCCCCTAGATATCCAAGCATGCCTCTGGTTTGGGACCCTGATATTGTTTCCGGTTGTGTGTGTGTGTGTGTGTGTGTGTGTGTGTGTACATGCCCAACCCAGGGCCTCCTCACACATGCAAGGCAGACAGCTGGGCACTCTAGCATGGACGGAGCCCCATCAGGACCCCAGGCCACTCGCTGTTCCAGGGGACCCGAGCAATGACCCTCTCTGAGCATTGCATGCTTCGCTTCATTTCCTGGTCTCCCCGTTACCTTCTTTTAAACGCTCCTCCCCACCAGCAACCCGGCTTCTGCACGCCTGTCCTTGCCTGTTGGAAATTTATTAGTCCTACGAGCCTTCCCCTGGAACAGTCTGATTTTTAAATGGGTCACTTCGGAGGGAACAGATCGTCTCTCCTACGCCGAATCCTTCTCTCCCCGGTGACCCTGTTTAACGGGAATTCCCTTCCCCCCCCCACACCAGCCCACCACTCCCCATTTCTTCTCTTTCTATCCCCTCCTTGCTGTCCCTCTGCCTCTGTGCCTTGATGGAGCAAGTTCCTGCCCAATTCCGAGTCCGTGAGTGTTGTCACTCGGTCCATTAAAAATGATCTCCTGGGGGAGAGGCGGGGCGTCTCGCATCTGTGAATGTCAGAGCTAGTGTTCCAGAGTCTCATGATGTCTGCGCCCAAAGAGAGAGAGAGAAGAGAGACAGAGAGAGAGAAGAGAGACAGAGGGAGAGAGAGAGAGAGAGAGAGAGAGCGCTCAGGCTCCTGTTTTCAGGGAACCAGGAGTGGACAGCAGGCAGGTGAGGAGTGCTCCTGGCCCTCCCCTGCTATGCTGATGGCAAAGTGGAAGCCCAAAGTGCCGCTTCACTCTGGGGGCAGGCGGCAGCCACCTGGGGTGGATTTTCCCCTTCACCTCCTCTGCCTTCCCCACCTCCAAGGCGGCTTCCGTAGACGGCAGGTACGGGCAGGTTCTAAATCGGGCAGGGAGCCTGGAGCGTCTCTCTCTTCCTTCCCTCACGGATGGGTGGCATGAATGAATTCCTTGCGGGCATGCTGCGACCTCCTCTTCCTCCTCCTCCTCCTCCTCCTCCTCCTCCTCCTCCTCCTCCTCGTTGTCGGCGGCGGTGTCGTAGTCGTCAGTCGTGGTCACCGTCTGAGGATTGAGGAAGCAACACTCCGATGTGGCGTGAAGGGTTCACACGTCTCTCAGTGCACTTTTATTTTTCAAGAGCCCTTGCCTCCGGTGAAAATGGCTTGCGGAGAACACGCATTTATCGAGCTCGCGGCCCTGTGAATTCCAGCCCCGGCAGAAAAACTCCCGGGAACAGAGAGAGCAAACTCGGGGCCGCCGTGGGAGGGAGCGTCGGGCGGGGGCTCAGATGGCAGGTGTAGCCAGGGTGGAAAAGAAGAAGCACCCACTGCGCCCGCCCTCCTATGCCCCGGTGGGCACCATGTCCCCCAATATAGTTGCCAGCGAGTGCATGCCGGGTGCACTGTTGGCTTGCCGGTGTGCATGGATGCATGCTAACTTTACCTTTTGCAACACACGTGGGACGATCTTGGAAATGAGAGGAGGGGGGGAAGCATTCATGTCCTCCTATACCCCCTGGGTGCCGTCGTCCCTTGCGGAGAAGGAGGAGGCGAGGATTTTCCCGGGCTCTCTAGCTTCCAGCATTGTGCCGGGACTTGCAGGCCGAGTATAGGAGCGAACACCTCTAGCCTGTAGCCACCTACTCCAGCAGGACACTAGGGGGCTAGTTTTCTCTTCTCCTACGTAGGCCATAGCAGGGCCCCTGAGAATGAAAGGCTGTGCTTAGATCTTTCAGACACTCGGGGGTGGGGTGGGGGGGGGGGTTCAGACACTCGAGTGGGGGCTACCCCTTGCACTGATGAGGGGGCCTGGATGGCTTCAGCACCGGGCCTTGAATGCTCAGCTCTGGACAAGGTGAGTGGAGACGCTGAGAAGACTTAGTGCTAATCCCAAAGCCCGTGAGAGTCACGCAGTTGAGGGAGAGGGTGTCTCTTCTCTTGCAGACTCCTTATTTGGTCATGAGAGCAGTGCTCACTTTTCTGTTCCCCAGGGGTGTGGAACCAAATTCCGTCCTCCTTGTCTCTCTTTAGTTTTTTGGTGTGTGTGTGTGTGTGTGTGTGTGTGTGTGTGTGTGTGTGTGTGTGGACATCCCCTGCAGTTTTGTTTGTTTGTTTGCTTTTTGGGTCACACCCAGCGATGCTCAGAGGTTCCTCCTGGCTCTGCATTCTGGAATTACTCCTGGCGGTGCTCGGGGGACCCTATGGGATGCTGGGGATCGAACCCGGGTCGGCTGTGTGCAAGGCGAACGCCTTACCCGCTGTGTTATCGCTCCAGTCCCAGCAGTCTTTATAAAACCACACTTCACACTTCCTCAGCTCCAGAGGAAATCTAGGATCTAGTCCATCCAGAACTTCAGACTTCTCCCCAGCATCCCTGGGAAAATCGGTCCCTCGTGTTTGGAGATGACACAAGTCCTGACAGCTTCTCTCGCAGGTGCCTGCCGCACCGTCAGCGATCTGATGTCATTAGTGTCTAGGTGTCTTCCAGCAGCAGGATGGGGATATGATCCTTTGGTTTCCCTGAGAACCCCACGGGGCCGAGCTTAGCCTGGCTGGCCAAGTCCGTGCCAGAGGGCGGTGGGACAGGAAAGGCCAGAGGTCAAAGCCAAGAAGAGGATGCTGGCTTCAGAAGCCTGGCGCACACAGCTGGCGGTCATTGCTAGGGTTTCCATCTTTCTAGATTCTGGAACTCTCGCCAGGGAGAGTTAGGGTTATTCTACCCCTCCACAGGCACTTCCGGTACTGGCCGACCTTTCCCCATGGGGACGGTGCCCACTTCGGTCATCGGAGGAGAGTGACCTGCTCTTTACTCGGGGACGTGGCGGGTGCAAAGCTCTCTTTCGGCTCTGAAGGCTTTATAGATTGATTTGAGGAGTCGGTTTTAAACTGGAAAAAAAAATACTATCCAGTTTGCTCTTTAAGCTCCCGCTGGTGAAAACTGGACTCGGAGAAGCGTCCGCCACGGTGGTTCATAAGCCTGAGTGAGGGAAGTGTGATGTGTTTCAGGGATGCCGGATCCCAGGGAGAGGAAGAGGGTGAGGCCAGAGACTGGTTGCTTTTAAGGTCTATGGATGAAGGGACCCAAGCAATGCTGACCTGGGTTCCTTCCATTCCTGGCACCACAGACAGCCCTTTCTTTCTCTCTCTCTTTCTTTCTTTCTTTCTTTCTTTCTTTCTTTCTTTCTTTCTTTCTTTTTCTTTCTTTCAATGAAGTACAGTTGTAGACTTACAAATTTTTGTGTTTGGGTTTCAGTTATACAATGATCAAACACCCATCCCTCCACCAGTGCCCATTTTTCACCACCACGGGTCCCAGTATCCTTCCCACCCTCCATCCCCCTCATCCCACCCTGCCTTTGTGGCAGGGCATTCCCTTCTGTGACACATACAACCCTTTCGAGCCCTGCCAGGAGCGACCCCTGAATGCAGAGCCGGGAGTAAGTTCGTAGCACCACTCTCCCCAAAATCTGAATAAGATTAGGGTGGGGACATAGCTCAAAGGAAGGGCTTGCGGTCAGGCCATTCGGGCCTCCCTCCAAGGACTGCCAAGAACAGCAGACTAGGAGTGACCCCTGCGTAATACTTGTTGTGGTCCCCCCAAAAGTAAAATCAGGGGAAGGTGACTTTGTAGCCAGAGTGCAGAGTGCAGAGTGCAGGGGTGGGGGGGCGGGGGGAGTCAGTCCCGGGCACTGAACGATTGGCGCGTCTTGGCCATGGAGCCCACCTGTGTGAGAGCCATACTGCTTCCTCCAGGGCCCTTGACATTGAGAGGTGGCCACGGATGCAGTCCCTGTCCATCCACCTTGGTGTTCGCGACCAGAAGGCCACCACAAATAAAAGGAAGCCTCTAGTCAGCGTGGTTTAGAGGTCTCTTCACTCCACACGTGCGTGCGTCCTAAGGGAGCATCACCGGGGGCCATGTGCCAAGGTGACAGGTTCAGCCACGGGGGAGGGAGGGTCTTTTAGGGGAGACGCACGTGGGACCCTGATGCTGTGCTCAGTGCTGTCACACCCGGGTTTGTCCAAAGAGTGAGTTTGAGTTTCCCAGGGGCTCAGAAGTGGGGCCGGAGAGATAGAGAACACAGCGGGTTAAGGCGCGTGCCTTCCCCAGAGCTGATCTCGGCTCGATCCTTGGCACCGCCAGGAGTAACAGACGGGTGTATTTCACACCTCAGAGCCCCGCTCCCACCGCATCCCCCCTCCCCAAAATGAAATAAATAAAACAACA